TATCAAGTCTATTGTCACATATATTAAATCAATATATTTGTAGTGTGTATTAACCTTTTTTATATAGTCTTAATATAAATTATTATATTGATAATATATGAGAATAAAATGAAAACAAATTTTATATTTACCAAAGCCTATAATTTTATTTATTAGAAAAAATATTTTTTTGAAAGCTTTGCCTTTTTTTATGAATTAAAATATATTATATAATGTATACAAATATAATATAATATGTGTAATATTATATATTAATATAATTTAGCATAGATTATAAAATAAAGTTTTCATTGTGATTATATTAAGGTGAACAATATCCTTATTATTATCTAATATATTCTTTTAAATTTTAATTATTATAAATCAATAAATAATAAATATAAATATAATATATGTAAACTAAATTAAATATATATTAATAAATAAATTCATTCCTTATGTTAATCTATTTATATATGTATTTTAGATTAAAACTAGATATACTATATTTTATTCAATTTAATATATAAATACAATATTTATTAATATAATTTAATATATTTATAATATACAATACAATAAATTTAATATATTCCATTATTTTATATTTTTGAATAGAAAATAAATAAAAATTGTTGATTTTTGAATTTAGAGTGAAAGTGATAAAGAAATATAAAAAAAAAAGGAATAAATTAAAAAATTTTTAATTCGTATAAAAAGAAAGAAAAGGGACTTTAAATTTTTTACTTTTTTTTTTCTTTCTTTAAACCATTAATATAATATTTTTTCCTTTTTCCTTTGTTTTCTTTTTCTTTTTTTTTTTATAGTAAAGAAACACCAAAAAAAAAAAAGAAGAAAAAACAAGTATAATTTAATTTTTTTTTATTTTTTTTTTGCTTAATACTAAAAAAAAATTTTAAAAAATTATACCTTTTTTTTTTAATTTATTATTTTAATATCTTTTGTTTTTTTTTTAAAAAAATAAAAGAATTTGAAGAATAAAGAAAAAAAAAATACATACTTTATAATTTAATTCATTTAGAATAATTTAAGATATATATAAAGTAAAAAAAAAAATAATTTTTGAAAATGATGATATAACAATTGAAGAATCAATCTACTAGCTTTAAATAACTAATAGAAATTTTCACAATTAAATTATATTTAATTTATTAAGATTAAAGTAATATTTATTATATATTCAAAAAATAAAAAAGAAAAAAATTGAAAAAAATTTTAAAAACCAAAAAAAAAAAAAAAAAACAACAAACAAATCAGAAATAAAAATTTTTTTAAAAAAAAAAACAAACAAACAAAAAAAAACAAAATCAAATATATATATAATAAATATTATAATAATTCTAAAAATTATACAAAATAATAAACCAAAAATTTGAATTGAAAATTAAAGTTTGTTATTTTCTAGTTTTGACAATAATATTGTTCAAAACTATTATGTTAAATTAAGAAATATTTAAAAATTTTAAAAAATTATTTTTATAAAGGGAAAAAGAAATATATTTTTTTAAATTAATCATTTCAAATAATATAATTTAAGAGAAAATGGATACATATATATTGATCGTTTGTTGTATAATACCAATATGTGCAACCATGTTTGCTTATACCTACAAAAAGAAAAGTATTAAAACCATGAATAATAGAGATGCTCTTTCATATAACTTACATCATGTAAAGCGTACAAAGTCAGCGTTAAAGAAAAAAGATTCTGTAAGAAGTCATAGAAAATCTGTACAGTTTAATGAAGTTGTCTTGGAAGTATTTGATTTAATTAATGAAAATGAGCCAGAAGATACCATAAAGCGCAAACCATCTTATCCAAAAGTAATTAAATCTTCCTTGAAAAAAGAAAAAGTATTTGTGCCAATTCGTTGTTCTAATACTATGTTTCCAAAAACAGTAATAAATGAATATAATGGTGAAATCATAAATTTTAATAAGAAGCAAAAGGAAGAAAAGCACACTACTGAAAAAGAAGATACCATACAAGTTTCCATAGATACTAATATACCGGAAATAGTGATAATAAAAAATGAAGATAATGATGATAAAACATTAACGAATTTATCAAATAACCAAAAAGAAAATTCTTTATCAGAGGAAATAGCGACAAGCGTAGCCGAGACAGTTATTACTTCAGTGGCTCCAGAAACTAATCAAATTAATGTATCGGTAAAAGCTAACACTTTTCCAAGAAGATCTAGACCAAATCATATAGGTCATAGAAGACAGTCAAGTGTTAGATTAAAGTGTATATATTAAACAATTTTATATATTTTTTTAAATTATAATATTAATAATTCAAATAATCAATAATAATATTTTAATAATAATATTTTACTACTATTAATGAAAGTTAATTACTATTTTAATACTCTTTAGAACTTTTTTTTATTTTATTTTAATTTAAATTAAATTATTTCAACATACCATTTTATTTTAATAATAATAACACTAATAATAATAACAATAATATCACCTTTTTTTTTTAGAAAAAAAATGAAAGTTTATTTTTTTTTTAAAAAAATTTCAATTTTTTTATTTAGTATTATAGCACTAAATAAAATTTATATACGTATAGGGATCAATTTTGATACAAAATAAAAAAAAAGTTTTTTTTTTTATTGTTTAAAAAATTATTTTGGAAGTCTATTTATATTATTATAAATAAAACTTTATAATAATTTTTATCAAAATTTAAAATTTTAAATAATATTAAAATTTTAATCCAAAAAAAAAAAAAAAAATCCAATAAATTCATAATAAGGAAAAAGCAATCAAAAAAAAAAAAAGTTACAAATGAAGGGAAAAGAAAAAAAAAAAAAAAAAAGAATTTATCAGTTAAAGAAGGGAATGTTTAAATGGGAATAATATTCAATGGGATAATTTATCAAATTTATGATAAAATTATTAGTTATCATAACTATTGAAAAGATTATACAAAGATTATATTCTTTTTTGTAATTTCAAACATATATTTAAAGTTAACTTGATAATAAAAAAATATTGTTTAAGAAAGAATTAAAAAAAAAAAAAATCGAAAAGAAAAAAAGATTTTATTTGAAATATACCTTTTTTTTTATATTTTTCTTTTTTAAAAGAAAGAATAAAAAAAGTGGTTGGGAAATAAAATTTTTATTTTTATTTTTTTTTTTTTTTTTTTTTCAAAAGAAAAAATTAATAAAATAGGAAGCAAATTTAAAAAGAAAAAAAAAAATATTTTAAATATTTTAAATATTTTTATAAAAAAAAAATAAAAAGTGTTGTATGTATTGCGTATTGTGTGTTTTAATAATCATAATATTAATACCTATTTTTGTATTGAGCATAAAAAGAATAAAAAAAAAAGAACAATTTATAAAGAATACTATCTTCCACATGATTAAAACATTTTTAGTGAATAGTTTTGATCTTTTGACCATGTTAATCATATTTTATTATATTATTAATAATAGTAATAAAAGGCTGATATTTTGGAAGAATAATGTTTAAAATTGATGATTTAATATAAATCCTAGATTTTTGACGGATTTAGCCAGAAAATTTATCCAGAGTAAATTTGACCTCTGACTAAAAAGTTTGTGTCTTTCTTAATCTATAAATATATATATAAAGTTTCCATTTTTTTTTTTTTTTTTTAAAGCTTAAACTATAATATACGACTTTTTCTGACAACATAAATTAGAGATGATCATTTATTTTGATAATACATATATATTTGATAAATATTATTTTATTGTTTTTAAAAAATTAGTCTAATACATCAAGTATATTTTATATAATCATAATATCTACATCATTGGTAGAACTATATACTCTTATTATTATTACAGTATTTAAATATTACCCATATTTAATTTCTTTGAAAAAAAAATTTACAGTATGAAAAAGAAAAAAAAAAATTAAACATCAACTATTTAATTTATAAAATAGTAAAAAAACAAGCATTTTTTTTTTAAAAAAAAAGATTACTTCAAGCAATAAGCAAGCAAAAAAAAAAAAAAATAAAAAATAAAGTAAAATAAAAAGAAAGAAAAAAAGAAAAATAAAAAAATAACAATAATCTAAAAAGATATAAAAAAAAATTAAAAAATTCTACAACCTATTTTTATATTGAAAAAAAAAAAAAAAAAAAGGTGTAGAGTCTTATATTAATTAATAATAAAATTAATTCCATTCATTTATTTATTAATTTATCAATAGAATTAAAAATGAATATAATTTGATATAAAAAATAAAAATTAAAAAAAAAAAAAAATACTATTGTATTTAATGGAGCAGCAATAATGAAAATAATAATAAAAATAATAAAAATAATAAAAAATATCTTTATAAAAAAAATTAAAGTTTTTATTTTATTTTATTTTATTTTATTTTATTTTATTTTATTTTATTTTATTTTATTTTATTTTATTTTATTTTATTTTATTTTATTTTATTTTATTTTATTTTATTTTATTTTATTTTATTTTATTTTATTTTATTTTATTTTATTTTATTTTATTTTATTTTATTTTATTTTATTTTATTTATTTTATTTTATTTTATTTTATTTTATTTTATTTTATTTTATTTTATTTTATTTATTTTATTTTATTTTATTTTATTTTATTTATTTTATTTTATTTTATTTTATTTTATTTTATTTATTTTATTTTATTTTATTTTATTTTATTTTATTTTATTTTATTTTATTTTATTTTATTTTATTTTATTTTATTTTATTTTATTTTATTTTATTTTATTTTATTTTATTTTATTTTATTTTATTTTATTTTATTTTATTTTCCCTTTTACAATTTTAAATATAAAAATCTTTATTTTTTTGTATATATATTTAGATTAATGGACAAATTTTTTTTTTCTAATGAAAAAAAATTTTTTTTGTACAACTTTTAATTATTTATGAAAAAGAAATAAAAAATAAAATAAAAAATTAAACATAAACTAAATCACTCTATTCGCTCCAACGCGCACTAAAAAAACTTAAAAGTTAAAAAGGGCTCAGCCGGGAATTGAACCCGGGACCTCTCGCACCCTAAGCGAGAATCATACCACTAGACCACTAAGCCAGTCAAAATTTGAAGAAGCATAAAATTTATAATAATTTGTCAACAATATCTGAAAAAAAAGAATTGTGAAGATATTAACTGGATTTAAAACAAATTCAGATAATATCTATAATTAATTAAACATAATAATTATAATTAAATAATTCCAACAATTATTTTAAAACACCTTTAAAAGTTACCTTTTGATATTTGATTCAGTAAAAGGGTTATGACTTCAAAAATTTAATGTCAATATACTTAACCAAAAATAAACAAACAAACATAAACGATCGCTACGGCTGTAAGTGCTACGGCTGTGAAACCAAGTTTATTAGAAAGCCTAAGGAAAAAGCTATATTTTGGTATAATCGCGGTCCTTCTAACTGGTCATTTAAGGAAGATATGATCATTTGAAGATTTTAATAAGTAAATTAATATGATATTAAGTATGGATCATAGACATTTCTTATGACTTGACGAAAATTAAAAAGATATCAATAGGAATTTTTGTTATATTAATTTAATTAATGATAGTGACTGTTACTAAAAATAGAACTAAACCATTTAGGTGTAACAGTTAACATTTATAAATTAAATAATTTTAATTATTATAAAATAGGTTAATGGCAAGTTTTGTTATTAAAAAATTAAAAAATAATTTTTAAAATAATACTTATTTTGTTATAACAAATAGGTTATTATCAATTAATAATAGTGAATTATTAATTGAATAGTTTTTATGATTATTAATTATAATCAACGTTTAAATGATTAATCATATGTTTATTTTATTCTTATGTTATGATAAACAAATAAACAAACACTTTTAATAGTTTATTATTATATTATATTATTAATATATTACATTTAATACTATAATTCTTACCAATTTAATAGTCTTAACAATGAATATAAGATAGAGTGAATTAAATTGAATTTTGATTCTTTTCAAAGACTATAGTTATAATCTTAATTATTTAGTTATCCAATATATTATATCATTTATACTATTATTAAATAAATAAAAATTTATACAAAGTTATTTTTAAAAAAGAAAAAAAAAAAAAATATTGATTTTTCTTATTTGGAAGTTTTAAGTGTTATATTATAATTAAATTTAATTTCTTAAAAAAACATTTTACTATATAACCTGATTTGGCTGTATAGCCAAACCCTAAAACTTAATAAGAATTGTGAAGTTTTTCACTGGATCTACATTGAAATCCAGAAAATACCTATTGAGTTTATTAAAAAAAAAAAAAAAAATAACATAAAATTAAAATAATTTGTATTAAACGAAAAAGTCAACTTTATTTTTATATTCCAACATAAAAAGGTTAAAATTCACAAAAAAAAATTTTTAAATTTTCATTTCTTTTCTATAAAGTAATCCTTTTGGCCAACCAACAATAATAAATAGAATCTGGAAATTTGGGCGTATTTCTACAAGTTTCAAATCAATTTTATTGAGAAGTTCTTAAGGAGTTGGTCAAGTTATAAAATTTTCAACTGGTTATTTACGGAAATTATGAAAGAATTGAATATTTTAATATTTATCCATGTTATTATTTAATATTTAAAATATTTAATAATAATATGGATAAATATTAAAATATTATGTTCATAGCAACATTATTTTTCGATCCTTGGATGCTGACTTTTCCTATCATTAGATATTATTTTATTAAATTAATAGAATTATCGACACGAAACATAAAATTTCAACCGCAAAATTCATTGGCATACAACTATCATTCCTTATAAATAAATTAATATGAGATGTAGTCGTGGTGGTTAGTTTAATCTATCTGTAATTATTTTTAAAATATTAACAATTATTGAATATATATTAAATAGAAATTATGTTAAAATATATATATATATATTTTCTATAGTTAATTATCACTTTAGACTAGGTACACCTAAACTCTCTTGGGAACGTGCCTTCATTTATTTAATAAATGTAGTTTCTCAAGGGGGTCTACTCATGCTCATGGTACTGAGAGAGTAGAAAGAATTAAATCCAAGCATTGCGCAATGGATGCTTGATTAGTCTTTAAGGGAAAATTATTAGGACTAAGCTCATGGTACTGAGCGATTAAAAAACATTTTATTCATCAAATTTAAGTATTTGATGAATAAGTGAATGTTTGATATTCAGGTAAGTTTGTATAGTATTTAATTAGAAGAGTAATACATTTTGTTGCTGTATTTTTTCTTTTATTCATGTATTCATGTAGTACTACTCTTCTCTTGTAAGAATCCAATGTAGTCAACTTTAGCATTTGCATTGTATTTTTATATTTATGTAGCTATTGTTGTATTGTTTCTTGTAAGAGACTGATTCACTCTACATCATGTAAAAATACTATTCACAAGCTTTCTGGTGTCGACATTCTTGATTCAAATTTTTTACCAATTTAAATATTTAATTAAAAGTAAAGTCAAACAAGTTTAGTGTCAAAAAGCGATTCGAATTTACTAACAACAAACCAAAACTAGAATTTTTAAAGAAAATTTACAACTAGAATTCAAAAAAAAAAGAAACTTTAAACAAAGCATCGTAACAATTTTTGTACTATCCAGTACTTTTAAGAAGAGAGAGAGAGACAGATTTTTTTTCCATATACGTTATATTTATAATTTTTATTAGTATTTATTTTATATTCAATATTTTTAATTAGAATTTATTATCATGTCAGTCCTTTATATTAAAGACAAGAATTATATCAGACGTGGTACCCGGTCTTATGGTATCCCCTTAGATGATATTCGCTCCTTCTTTATCCGTGGTATTCGATCATGGTCAGTAAATATGCTATGGGAAAAACTCGAGGTTATTCTAGAAGATAAATTTAATTCAGTTATTAGTGTTAAATATTTTCAGACTTTCAATGATCACTTTTTCTTAGTCAAGGTTCATGGTTCATCGAAAGATTGTATTAAAATCTTACACATGTTAAAGAAGAAACTTTCAGTTACCTCAATTTCCTTTTCAGCTCGTAGTAGAAGGAATCACAAATACACTTTTTCCACTCTCAAACGTAAAATTTTAGTTTCTAATAAACATCAACATTCTATTCAACAATCATTTCAACAATCAGTTCAACAATCTCATCAACAATCCGATCTTCAACAAGATCTTCAACAGGATCTTCAACAAGTTTCCCATCATGAAAATATTCCAGATCTACAGTTAACACAATTTCAATCTCAACATTCAACAATTAATTCTAATAGTTCTATCAACTCAAATAACAGTTCAATAGTTGATAGTTCTTCAGCTTCACAGCCATCTAGTAATAGTTCTACTTATTCCTCTGATGCATCATCCATTAATAACGATGACTTTAATAATAATAATAATAGCAACGATTCTTCCTCATCCAACAAGCCTGATAACTTTTCTTTTTGTCTTAGTTGGAACACCAATGGGTGGAATCATGAAAAGAGAGATAGTATTAGCTATTTCACAGCTATTTTCAAACCATTATTTTTATGTTTCCAAGAAACTGGTAATGGTTCTGGATCGAATACAGATTATCCTTGTCGTGTTACTTTGCGAAACTATAGACACTTTTTCAAGAAAGCTGACGAATCAGTTCCGGGAATGAGAGGTTTATATTTAGGTTTTCACAATTCATGTCAAGCCTCACTTGAAAACTTCTCTGGAAAGTATATTATTTCTATTTATACTTTTAGTCTCTGGAATAGATTCAAATGCTCGATTGGTAATGTTTATATGCCTCATAGTCATCACAACATCTATGTTGATCATGCAAAGTTAGAAGTTCGCTTGTGGTTACAAACTCATTCATCCCATCCATCGATTCTTGTTGGTGATTTTAATATGTCTAAAGTAAAATTATCCAACTGGTTATCAACTAATGGATTAGGAGATTGGGAAATTCTTCCGCTTAGAGGGTCTACTATCTCTTGGACTCGAGGTGATCAATCTTCCGACATTGACCATGCTCTTATCAATTCGAAGATGAAAGATCTTATTCACTCAGGATCATTTATAAATAATTTTTATCCTGTATCAGACCATAAGCCACTTCTTATTAATGGTAAAATTATTCCTATGGAAGATTTTTCTAATGACTTTAATGTTCCTAAGAAAATTCTGAAATGGAATAGATTAAAATGTATTGAGGAAAAGGAATCTATTCTCAGTCATAATAAATTCCAAATACTTTCAGCAAAATCCAACGATCCTAATGTTTCTACAGATGAACTTTCCAAAGAGTTTACTTCAACTGCTTTTTCAATTGCAGACGAGCTCAGTATTACTTCAGCAAATAATGTTATAAAGTCTTCATTTCATATTTCACAACAAATTTTTAATCTTCAAAAAATCAAAATGAAGTTGTATAAGAGATTTAAAAAAGAAAGAATTTATGATATAGATGAATTTATTAAAAGAATTAAAATCTACCGTAAACTCATTGATTACATCCACAAAAGATGTAATGAATTTAGGAAGCAAGAATATCTTCATTGGATTAAAACAGGATGTGAGTATATGAAGAGTCATAATCCTAAGAAGGCCTGGAAATGGATCAAGAAAACTGCAAAAATTGGAAAAGATTCTTTCTTTATTGCTCAACCAATTAAAAATAAAAATGGAGAATTAGTTGTTGCTACGGAAGAACAACTAGATGTGTGGCATGATCATTTCGAAAATCTTGCATCAGACCCAAGTGGTGTAAGTCTTGATTTGGAGCATTGGTATGAAGAACCAACGAATAAACGTTTTCACTTCCTATGCTTGATGAGTGGGATATCAACCAAGATATTAGTGTTGATGAAGTCAAGTCAGCTATCCTCTCTACTCCAAATTATAAAGCATCAGGTCCGGATGGTATTCTAATTGAATTTTACAAAGCATTAGTTCCATCAAGTAATGATTCTAATAATGCTACAGATAATAATTCTTCTGGTAATACTACTTCAGATAATGATGCTCATGGTTTAAATTTTATTCTTAAATTATTTAACCGTATTTGTGATGGAGATTT